AATTTAAAGGAGAAAGAAGAGTCAAATAAAGGAAAAAGGAATATTCACAATAAAAAAGTAAAAGAAAAAGAATATTAAAATAATTATCCCAAGAGGCTATAGATAAAGTGGGACCCAATAAAATCTTTTAGACAACGTGGCTGATCAGATCGGGTCCCACAAAGACAATATTTTCCTGGGATTTGGATAAGTCCTCTTTTATCTTCTTGTCCTAGAAATTTGAAACAAATCCTCAGAAAAACCAAAAATCACACCATTAAGACATTAACCACTCATTTCATCTTCAAAGTTTTAATTTTGTCTTTGATTTTCAAAGTATTCTATGTTATGATATTGTCGAAACTACAAGGTCCAAGTTTACTTCCTTTTTTTTTGTTATTGTGTGGTGGGTTCTTGTTAGCACATTTCAACTTTTGATTTTCTTAAGCCAATATAAACATATAAATTTGGAGATATATAGTTTGTATATAAAAAAATCCATAAATTCTTATTACAGCATTCGTTTCTTTAATGTTTTAGAAGTAACAAAACATGATAGCTACAAGAGTATTACTAATTACTCGATAACGTTACTTTGAGTTCAACATTTTACATTGCTTGATATGATTACACACATATTCTTTTACTATGTATGTAGCATAAAACTGAAAGCAGTCAGTGAAAATAGTTAGTAGAGTGCATATATAATTTTGGTTAATCCAATTAAACCTTCAAGATTTTAGATGATATTATCTAAAATCGAAAAAGGATATGTATTATAGGTAATTTACTTTTGATTAAGGATATAAAATTATATTTGTTTATATACAAATTAAAATTTACAAATTTTAATATTTTAATATTTTAATTAAAAATACTAATTTTTCTATAAATATTTATAATTTCAACTAATTAGAACTCTAATCGACAAAAAACTTGAAAGTTATTATCGAATCAACCACTTAATTTTTGTGTAACTGACTCAAATAATAAAGTTTGATGTGTTTAGTTATAAATAATAATTGCAGTTTATTTAATTATATAATAAAATTTATATAATTATATAATAAAAATAGAAAAAACATAAATGTTGATTAACCCAATTTATAACTAAAAAATAAACCAAAACCAAATAAATAATTCAACTAACTGCCATAATTAACAAAACTATAACTGGTTTGATTTGATTTCATTTTCTACAAAATTAATAAAAAATTAAAAATCGTTTCAATTGAAACTGAATTCAAAATTTGCGTGAGATTAAAATTTAATTATATATATTTTCAATTTAAAATTTATCTTCTACTGTAATTACAAAAAGAAATTTGAACAAAATTAGGATCACATGTTTAGACTCTTAACATTTGGAAGGAAGAAAAAAAGTGAATTGTGCAGCATTATAAATGTTCCTTCGAGATGACACCACGTGTCTCCATCTGAGGTCGGCCGTCGATGTTATACCGTTGAAATGAGGACGAACGGGAAAAAAAGTTTGAAACGTTCCTGGAGGGAGCCGATGATGTGTTCGAATCTGATTGGCTAACATAGCTGCCGTTGATAGCGAAAGTCTGCCACGTCATCCAAGAAAAAACAAAGAAGCACATGCCTCGTGACTTTTGCTATCTCCTCTTCCCACCCTATCACGCCACGTTTCTCCTACATGTTTGCCACGTGGATTTTCAGTATCCACCCACCATAATTGATAAAATTTAAATTTGATTTTTATTTATACGATAATATATGGATATGAATAGTGAATTGTATGTGAGTATGGTTGGGCTGATACTAGTAGCGGTACAACTGTACTTATATATATTTTTTTTTGTCTATGTAGCAAATCACACAATTTTTTTTTTTTTTTTTTGAAAACAAACTATTTTGAGATATAACTTTGTAATGTTTGTATAGTTTAGTTTTGAAATACATACAATTTTAATCGAGAAAGATACGACTGTCTTCCACTATAATAAAGCTATTAGATTTTGGATCCGCGCACTTACGCGAATTTTTTTTTATAAAATACTTTTGGGTTATAGCAAAAATCGATTAATAAAAAAATTTTGTTCAAAAAATAGTTTATATTATTAAATCTAAAATTATGGTCCAAACAGAATTTTTTTATTAGATTATATAACATTATGGTTTTATGTTCTTAAAATTATTTAGGCTTGATTTTATAAAAAAAATTTGATTAGCGAATTTTTTGTTAACTTTTGTAACAAATATTTTAAAATATTATATTTTATAATGCAACAGAAATTTTATTTGTTTGTAAGTTTTGCCTTCAGATACTTATTTGGATGCAAATGCTCTCAAATATTATTCTTTTAAATTTTTTAAAATCAGTATATAGATATTTTATCTCAATACAAATTCTATAATATCTCAAAATTTGGATATTTAAAATGCTAAAAAATAGAGATTTGATACATCATTTGAATCTCAAAAATTAACAGATAAAAACATCTTTTAATTTAAACCAAAAAATCAAGTTTTTTTTTGTCAAAACCGTTTTTTTCTATCGAAATAAAAAGCCACAAAATTGTAAAATCACGTTGTTGTACCAAAACCAAAAATTCTGGTAGAAACTATAAAAATAACATTTTCCATCAAACTGTATTTTCCTGCCAAAACCGTAAACCCATATTTTTTTAACAAAACTAAAAATTATGTTTTCCCCCAATACCATAAAATCGTATTCTATGTCTAAATTTTAAAAATTAAGTAATTTTTTATCAAACCTACAAAATTGCATTTCGTCGTCAAACCTGCAAACCTGCATTTTCAATAAAATCCATAAAACTACATTTTTCCATCAAAACCTATAAAACCCGTAAAAAACATTTAAACCTCGTAAAATCTGCAAAGTCACGTTTCCTGCCAAATCCACAAAAACCCTTGGTTTTCTATAATATTGTAAAATTCATAAAATTGTGTTTTACAACCAAATTTCTAAACTCATGTGTTTCTGCCAAACTCACAAACCCGTATTTTCCTGTATGACTACATTTTCTCGCTAAAATCTGTAAAATCCATAAAATCCGTGAAATTGCGTTATTCGTATTTCGCAAACTCGTGTTTTCCCATAAACTCCGTAAAATCTGCAAAATCGTTATTTATGACCAAATTTTAAAAATTATGTGTTTTTGCTAAATTTACAAAAACACATTTGTTGTCAAACCTACATTTTTCAGAAAACTATATTTTCTGCTAAAATTTATAAAACCTGCTAAAATTTGTAAAATCTACAAAATTGTGTTTGTCAAATCCGCAAATCCATAATATTCTGCAAAAAAATCATTAACAAACCAAAAAAACTAAATTATTTACATAGTTTTTTTTTCATAGTATATATATATATATATGTAACCAAAAAATAATGATTATATATTCATCATTGACTATGAATTGGCACATTTAGTAAATACGATAATAATTTTTAGACATTTTAAAGTGTGATTTTTTCTTTTAATACTATAGAGAAGAAATTGATTATAATATAATATATATTTGATTTATCATATAATATATATAATTGTATTAGTTATTCATGCCATATATATATGGTAGTTATGTTAAAATATTATGAAAGATTTTAAAATAATATCAAAATTAAATTAATTTTAATTTTATTAATATCAGATATAATTTATTGGTATTAGCTATTAACAATCTAATATAATTTACTTTAATTTAATGTATTTAATTTAGTGATAAGACTAAATTAACTTTAATGAATCTATAGAAATTTAATGGTATATATTGTAAATAACACAGTAACTAAAGGTTAATTTAAAATAATGATTCTCTTTTAATAGTATTGATAACGCTTCTTAGCTCATTGTTTGGTTGTTATCTAATGAGTAATTTCAAATTACTCCACATTTAAGTGGAGTAATATTTAATTTTTGTTTTGATTGTTTGTTACTTTTTTTTTTATTCCACATGTATTTCATTCTACATATTTTATAATATTTTATTTTTACATAACTATTCAGAACCTACATTTTAGTTAGATGATGTGAACACAGGAATAGTTTTAGAATATGCTTAGAGATTTTTGTTTTTTTGATAAAAAGTAGATTTTTTATTGTTGAGAGTTGAGACAGCTAGAAAAAGAATAAAATGTAATCACTCTCTTTTTAATCTTCAAATTTATAAAAAGTAGATTTTTATCACTCTCTATTTTTAATCTTCAAAAATATTTTCCATTTTTATATTTTACATGTAATATTCATTTTATAATTATATACAACAAATAAATATAATTAAATATAGAAAATCTAGTTTCATTTTATATTTTCCAAATTCATTAGCATTTTTAGAAAATCGAGGTGAGTACAAATGTACATTGCATTCTTATTAAATTAGTGTGAATTTTCATTGTTGTTTTCAAAGAATTTCAAGAATACAAAGGAATGTAAAATACAAATCTAGATTTATTTCCAAAGTTTCTATTTATTAATAATATCTGTTCCCTTGAACTTTTAAGGTATGAAATCTTCAGTAGAAATAAAGATTTTTGAAAATAATTCATATAATAGCTGTAAATATTTATTTCCCATTTAGGTAAAGAAGTGGAAATATTATTGGAGAAGTGGGAGAATAACAGCTCAGAGCAACTAATCAGTAATTAGGAGGATTACTAGTTTTTAAGATTTTTTCCCTTTAATAGGAAAAGTCGGTTCGAGTTAAACACACGCGCTCATCTAACGGTTACGATTAACCAATTATTTGCATCTCGAGAAAATCGAGACCGTTCAAATATTCCACAAACCCCCGTGTTTAAAATTTTCTGATTTAATTATATTTTTGCTCTTTCGTTTCGTTCTTATCCTCACCGAATTTTTTTTCTTAAATTCCAAAATATGGACGCTCTCTTCTTCTTCTTCGTAACTATGCGTTTTCTCCCCTCAATGTTATAAAATCGGAACAAAACCCAGAAAAACTCTCGATTTACCCAATCTCAATTCCATTTCGATCTACAAAAGTTTGATTTTTTTTTTCTTGGGTGTTTAGTTATGTTACCGGAATCTTGGAAAGACCAGCTGAGTCTGGTCTCGGCGGATGATTATCAGATCATGGGTCGAAATCGGATTCCTAATGCCGTCACGAAGCTTTCGGGACTCGAAACCGACGACAGAGATGGCGAAACCGACCCGAACGGCGGCGCGTGGGCGACAAAGCCGAAACGGATCGTGGTTTCGAATCAGCTTCCGCTTCGTGCTCACAGAGACATTTCGTCGAACAAATGGTGCTTCGAATTCGACAATGACAGCCTCTACCTACAGCTCAAAGACGGGTTTCCCCCGGAGACGGAGGTCGTCTACGTCGGGTCTTTAAACGCCGACGTTTTGCCCTCGGAGCAAGAAGACGTCTCCCAGCTCCTGCTCGACAAGTTCCAGTGCGTTCCTACTTTCCTACCCAGTGACTTGCTCAACAAGTATTATCACGGTTTCTGCAAACACTATCTCTGGCCGATTTTTCACTACCTCCTCCCGATGACGCAAGCTCAGGGATCTCTCTTCGACCGATCGAATTGGAAGGCGTATACGAAGGTTAACAAGATCTTCGCCGATAAGATCTTCGAAGTGCTTAACCCAGATGAGGATTACGTCTGGATTCACGATTACCATCTCATGATCCTCCCCACTTTCCTGAGGAACAGGTTTCACCGGATAAAGCTAGGGTTCTTCCTTCACAGCCCCTTTCCTTCCTCGGAGATTTACCGTACGCTTCCCGTGAGAGACGAGATCCTTAAAGGGTTCCTGAACTGCGATTTGATCGGATTCCACACTTTCGATTACGCTAGGCACTTCCTCTCTTGCTGCAGTAGGATGATGGGTCTCGATTACGAGTCGAAAAGAGGCTACATTGGCCTCGAGTACTTTGGAAGAACGGTGAGCATCAAGATTTTACCGGTTGGGATCCACATGGGGCAGATTGAGTCGATCAAGGCGTCGCAGGAAACCGCAGAGAAAGTGAAGGGATTGAGAGAAAGGTTCAAAGGGAACATCGTGATGTTAGGTGTGGATGATTTGGATATGTTCAAAGGTATCAGCTTGAAGTTCTGGGCGATGGGTCAGCTTCTTGAACAGAACGAAGCGCTTCGTGGGAAAGTGGTTCTCGTGCAGATCACGAATCCTGCTCGGAGTTCAGGTAAGGATGTTCAGGACGTGGAGAAACAGATACATTTGATTGCTGATGAGATCAATGCTAAGTTTGGAGTACCTGGTGGCTATAAGCCTATTGTGTTTATCAATGAACAAGTTACTACTTTGGATAAAGTCGCTTACTACGCTGTCTCTGAGTGTGTTGTGGTGAATGTTGTGAGAGATGGGATGAATTTGGTGCCTTACAAGTACACAGTGACTAGGCAAGGGAGCCCTGCTTTGGATGCAGCCTTAGGTTTCGGTCCTGATGATGTTAGGAAGAGTGTGATTATTGTCTCTGAGTTCATCGGCTGTTCCCCGTCTCTGAGTGGTGCGATCCGTGTTAATCCGTGGAGCATCGACGCAGTCACTGACGCCATGAACTCTGCCATCACAATGTCGGACAAAGAGAAGAGCCTTCGCCACCAGAAGCATCACAAGTACATTAGCTCTCACGACGTGGCCTACTGGTCTCGTAGTTATGACCAAGACCTCCAAAGGGCATGCAAGGATCATTACAACAAGAGATTCTGGGGAGTTGGATTCGGTCTTGGGTTCAGGGTTGTTGCTTTAGATCCGAATTTCAGGAAACTCGGTGTTGAAACCATAGTCCCTGCTTATAGGAGAACTAGCAGCAGGTTGATCCTATTAGACTATGATGGCACAATGATGGATCAGGATACTTTGGATAAAAGACCAAGTGACGATCTCATCACTCTTCTCAATCGCTTGTGTGATGACCCCAACAATCTCGTCTTTATTGTTAGTGGTCGAGGTAAGGACCCTCTCAGCAAATGGTTTGGCTCTTGCGCAAATCTCGGTCTCTCTGCTGAACATGGTTATTTCACTAGGTACTTTTAAACCCTTTAGACTTGGCCATCTTCTCTCTCGTTTGTGTGAAGCTAATACTGTTCTCCTTTTGGTTCTTAATCTCACAGGTGGAACTGTAATTCCCCATGGGAGACAAGTGCATTTCCCGCGGATTTAAGCTGGAAGAAGATAGCTAAACCAGTGATGAATCACTACATGGAAGCGACTGATGGATCGTTCATAGAGGAGAAAGAGAGTGCAATGGTGTGGCACCACCAAGAAGCTGACCCTTCATTTGGTTCTTGGCAAGCTAAGGAGCTTCTTGATCATCTAGAGAGCGTGCTCACCAACGAGCCTGTTGTTGTCAAGAGAGGCCAGCACATCGTAGAAGTCAAACCCCAGGTATATCGATGAACTAATTCGAGATTTGTTTGCTTGAAAATTGAAATCGCCATCATTATCATCATGCTGATGTAAATTTGATTTCAGGGTGTAAGCAAAGGAAAGGTGGTGGAGCATTTGATTGCAACAATGAGGAACAACAAAGGGAAGAGACCGGACTTTTTGTTGTGCATCGGTGATGACCGATCTGATGAAGACATGTTTGATAGCATTGTGAAGCACCAAGACGTTTCCCCTATACCTTTTGCAGAGGTCTTTGCGTGCACGGTAGGTCAGAAACCAAGCAAGGCCAAGTACTATCTCGATGATACCCCAAACGTTATCAATATGCTTGAATGGTTGGCCTCAGCTTCTGATAGATCAAAGGATGGTGAGCAACAGAGCAAGTTCACTTTTCAACAGGGACAATGTCGAAACGAAATCATAGATCTTTGAAAATGGTTTGTTTTTATGTTGTGAGATTAAAAGATTTGTAGGATTTGAAAGGGTTTTAGATCACTAGAAGGGGTTCTAGGGTTTGTTATATGCCTTTTGTACAGAGTATCTTGAACTGGTCAATCGGGGTTCCTTTGTCCCCGTGTGAGATGCTTATACATAGAAAAGGAAATAGATATGTTATGAATTCGTTTCAGTTTTGTTTTCCTGTCTCATTAAGAGAGCAATGCTTCTTCTTCTGATTGAAATGAGGAACAAACGATTTATACTGTCAAATTCATGACAAATGTCACATTATCTACCTTTGTTACATAGCTTTGACACAGTAATCTGATTCGATGGTATTATATAAGTAAAACAGAACGTCACGGATCATGGATCATACTTGTCAAGCTCATAAAACTCAATGTTCTTGTACTTTTGCGAGATTATCTCTGCTTGCACCTTTCTTGCAGTATCTGTCGCGCACCCGACAAGAATGAGAACAGAAGTGCCTGCAAATCCTCTGAACGCTGTCAAGTGAGTGATCTGTTCGACCACGGCGGGACCAGCAGCAAGAACAGCCAGAAACGCTGAGCCAAGAACCGATATCCGGCCAAGGACCTGAAATCGCCATCAGAGCCAGAGATTTTCAGATGATAAAACCAAAATGGATAGTTTCAAGAAATGGAGGAAGGAGAGAGAGAGAGAGAGAGTCTTACGGTCTTGATGAAGAGAGCAGTGCTTTTACCGGGTCGAACTAGAGGGATCGATGCACCTTGGCGTTTTAGTTGCTCGCTCACATCGTCCGGGTCAAGTTGCAAGAAAGTGTAGTAGTAGTTGAAGAAAGCTATGAGAAGTATGTTCGTTGGAAGATAGAAAGAACCTGCGAGAGTTTGTATGTGAAGTATTTTACGTTCTCTATCTATAACATTGGCAAAAAGGACTAAATCTTCTCGGAACTCACCTCCAGGGTTTAAACCGTAAGCAACATTCTTGAGAGCAGATATTCCGGTGAATCGCGCAAGAGTAGCCGGAAGAGCGAGAGATGATGTTGAGAATATGATAGGCATCACACCAGCACTATTGACTTTGAATGGAAGATAAGCAGATTTCTGAAGCCCTCCTGCTTTGCTGGTGTACCTCGAGGCATAGTTGAGCGGAATTTTCCTCTCTGCTTCCTGAAAAGACTTGGCTTATTAGACTATATAACTTTCTTAGATACATTGAAAATTGAACAGAGCTTGGTTATAGTTCAGTTTTACCTGAACATACACGATCCCTAGTACCAAGAGGAGGAATGAAACAACGATGGTGGCGAGACCAGTGTAGTTTCCTTCCTGTAATGCCTCTGCTGCTGTTCTACCAAACGATGCTGGCAAGTAAGAGATGATACTGGTGAATATCAACAGTGAAGTGCCGTTTCCGAGTTTCAGATCAGAGATTCTTTCTCCAATGTATGTGGTGAGAACAGAGCCGAGAGTTAACAGCGTGACAGAGGAAACAACCCATTCGGTGCTGAAGTCGTTGACGTAAGGACGAAGGTAGAACACTTGCCCTATCGCCTGTACTACAGCGAATCCGACTGAAGCGTATCGTGTGTACTGAAGTATCTTCTTCCTACCGGCTTCGCCTTCTTTCTTCTGGAGATCTTGCAGCTTTGGATAAACTTGAGCAAGAAGCTGAAACACAATCTGAGCGTTGATGAATGGGACAATCCCTAGAGAGCATATACCAAGCCTACCAATGCCTCCACCGGAAAACGTATCCAATGTGCTCAACAAGCTATTCTGATCCAAGTTTCCGACGAAAGCTTCTCGGTTGACTCCACCTAGAGGTATGTAGATTCCAAGACGAGAGAGAGCTAAGAAACCAAGAAGCTTGAGAAACTTCCCAGGCAATGGTCCTTTGAAGAAATCTCCAAAATCAATGGAACTGTCTTCAATAGCAGCTGTAAAGTTTCAAAGAGTAAAGCGTCATCACAATTCAAAGAGCAAGGCATCATCACAGTTTAGCACAATGTACAAGCTAAAACGGACCTGCCACTCCTCGAACAGAAGACGGCTTATCTCTTTTGGAACCAGAGGAGCTTTCAAGCGATGATGGAGACAAAAGACTCAGGAAGCTATCCCAAATGCTACTCAGACCAGAAGTTTCATCTGGATTGATTCCCAACGGATCAAAGATCGAAGCTTCAGAGCTGAACAATGTGCAGTGAAGTGAGCAAACAGCAACATTTCTTGATAAATTTTCAATGAAAAAAGGATGAACAAACACTCAAATCTTCAGAAATTCAAGTGCTTTTCGAACGATCGGTAGCCTAAGACACACCACTTGGTCTCCTAACAATATATTAAAATCACTTTGCTTCAGTTTCTATCAGCAAGAAATTCGAAAGTTGGGAACTTTAAGTCGCATTCTCTAACACAGGAGCAGTATCATCGGTTTCAGATGGAACCCATCTGATGTAAGATTGAAATCTCGAAGAAGAAGTACCTTCTAGAGTTGATAACAAGGCCCAGATTCCATGATTTGGGTTTAGAGGCGTTCCTGGTCTTTGTCGGGACGGAGAAGCTTGCTCTGTAAACAGAAGAGCTTCGGAATCTCGAAGATGATTTGTGGTGGAGACGAGATAGAGACGCGAGGTTTGAAGAAGAACAGTAAGAGGAAACCTCGCTTACCGTTATCATCTCTTAGTTCCTTATCCTTCGTCTTTCTCCAGAAGAACGATCTCTTCTTTTCTTTTTCATTTTTTTTTATGTTGTTTTTTTTTTTTTTCTTATTGAATCCAGAGAATGAGATGCTTAAAGGTCCAGGCCTTGTAGGCCCAAATATATCTTTTGCACACTAGTATTGCTGGTTTTGGACTTTCCAAAGAAAAAGATAATTCAAGTATTTAATAAGAACAAAAAGGATAATTGGTAAAAAAGGAAAGGATTATGTGCGATAGTGTAGCATCATCATAATATAGAATTAAAATCTATAGCCATAAAAAAAAACTATAGCTTTATTTCTACAGTAAAAAACTAAAGTTACATCATCAGCAACTAAAATTAGCTGCCTCTCTCTAATACTTTAGTAGGTTAAGTTGAAAATAAAATCATTTCTTTCTCTTTTTCTCTTTTACTTTTTTTTCATTTTTAAATAATAATAAATTTATTGAGAACCTTACAATATAGATAGTCTAACATTCTTTGTGAAATAAAAATAATATTTTCGAATAATACTTTCTGTGAAATGAAGAGAGTAATAAACTTTCAAGATTAGTTTAGATTTTGATTACAAAATTAGAGAAAATTAGAGAAAATTAAAAACCATAATATTAAAATATGGTTTATTGCACCATAATATTAAAATATAGTATACTATTTTCGGTATAGTTTGACTTCAGACAAGAGTATATTTAAGCTTAGCACTTAAAATAGCAAATGCAATAATCGATGTCCATACAAACGCCATTCCCCTTATACTTTTTGAACACAAGGAAGCTCGCATTCCTGATCACTGCATTGGTTTCTAAGCGACAAGGTCTTACTACATAGACTTATGGAGCGGGCTCCATATGCACTTGGCAAATCCAAATAAGCTATACAAAAAAAAAAAAAAAAGCTTACAAAAGTATTTAAAGTATATTAAATAAGCGAACGAGCATATATATATATATATATACTATTTGAAAATGTATAGTTGAAAAGTATCTAAACCTATAATTTTAAAAACATGTATGATATTTTGATGCCAAGTGATCACCGTAACAAGCCATACGAATTTCTTACCTAAGAGCACAAACATGGAGATGAACAGATACGAAAATACTTGTTTTGCCATGACTTGTGAAACAGTTAGAGGATATTTTTGTTTTTAAAGTAAACAATTAGAGGATTGTTGGGAGAAACTTTTTGATATTAAAAATGCGATAGAGAAAGAACGTTTATATAGACTTGGTCTATTGCCGTCAAAGCTGTTTTTCAGGATACAATGGCGTTGGAAAATGTTTTGGCGATCCTAAAGTTGCTGGATCCACTACTTGTGGTTGCACCTATAATTGTTAGAAGAACACTCTTAAAAAAGTTGTGATATATTAATTTAATTTAATTTACGGTTTCTATTTTTAACCGGAATAAAAATTCCAAAGATCTCCATAAAGAGATTCTAATAACTATATTATTATTTTATTATTATTCTCATAGAAAAAAAATTAAATAAATCATTTTTAAAATTTGTTATTCTCTATTTTTACAGTAAAAAAACGAAAGTTACATCAGCAACTAAAATTAGCTGCCTCTCTCTAATACTTTAGTGGGTTAAGTTGAAAATAAAATCATTTCTTTCTCTTCTTCTTTTTATTATTTTCATTTTTAATAATAATAAATTTATTGAGAACCTTGCAATACAGATAATCTAACATTCTTTGTGAAATAAAAATAATATTTAGAGTAATATTTTTTTGTAAAATGAAGGGAGTAATAAACTTTCGAGATTAGTTTAAATTTTGATTATAAAATTTAAATTTAAGTTGTAGAAGCCCCTTTAGCCTAATGATTTAATAAGAATTTATTAATGTTTCTACATCAGGAGGTCTGAGTTTCAAATTTCTGAAAGCGCAATTTATTTTTAATTATGCAAATTAATGAAAAATGATGTAAATTAATGGAGACAAATTTACAAGAGATCTTCAGCGTGATGCAAACAGAATCGTCAGACATTAATCTTTATATGGTGATAGTAAACGTGATACAAGATACAGGTAGAGCCATTAGCTTCGTAAAATGGTAAAATTAATCGTTGTAGAATCGTCGATGTAATAATTATTATAATTTGCTATAGATTAATAAATCAGCGTTAAAATAAAAATTAAAATTTAAATGTCAACTTATTTAGGTATTTACTACGTCATGTTTTATGGTTTGGAAGAAGAAAAAACAAAGTACAAAAAGTTGCTTTCTGGTGACAGTGATTCCTAATTGGTGGGCACATTAAGAACGTGGGACCCTTTCTGCGGAAGTTCCACTAGCTTCATTGTGTGTGGCTGTGTGCTCTCATTTGTCTACTGTCCCCTTCGCTGATTTTACAATTTACATCGACCTCAAAATATTCACTTGTGTAATTACGTAAACGCCACTCTTTCTGATTTTTGTATTTTTTTTTTCTAATACTTTTACATTCATGAATATAAAAACCAATAATGCAGTGAAATTATAGAAAGCGATAATGCAAGAGCCACTGAGTATATAATATTTATTGAATTGTATCCAATCATACACAACAAATACATATAACGACTATTGGAACCATATGATAAATGACATTAGATCTTATTCTAACATTTAAAAAAAAAAAATCAATTGTTTTGATTTTGTTTTCCAAATATAATCATGATTCTTAGTCATGTTTAGAGACATTTAATAGAGAAAATCAAAAGAAAATCCTTCTTCTTTTTTTGTTTATGCTGAGTTGTACACCTTAAAAACATAACTTTCTTTTTTTGAACTTTTTGTTTAAAAACATAACTTTGACACTACTCAAATAAAAGATCCGCATTAGAAACATAACTATGTGATTAGGCAAGTTATTATTAATACAACCGTGTTTTAGTAGGCCACTGTCATTTATAACAATTAATTTTTAAAGTTCTATTACAGAATATAACTTTCATCAAAACATAAGATATTGTCAAAATTTATGATTTTTTTTTAATATATTAAACCAAAAGATCTTAGGAAATATATAGAGTGGCAGTATTGTGAATAAGTAGTTGTGCAAAGATGGGCATTTTCATGACGTCGCATTAAAAATCCAACCGTGTAATTCCTTTATTTCTGAAAATATATTACATTTAATAATCACTCACACGTTTCGTGCGCTGTCTTCGAAATTAAACATTTCTGGAAAAAGATTATAAATAAAAAAAGACAAAACTGTCAACGAAGATTTTATATTGGTTGATTTTGAATCCACAAGACAAAAGGCAAAAACCCAGTCGTCAAAATTCAATCAATTTCTCCTTTTAATTTTTTTTTATTAATTTTTCTGTTTCCACTCCAAATTTTGATTATCTGGGTTTCGAATATTCTTCCTTTTCCTCCAATCACAGAACGAAAAGTATTCACTTTTTTTTTTATTTGTTGTCTTCCCTGCTTCTCCGGCGAGAGTAATGGATGCGCCGACGGAGAAATTCGTGCCTTCCCGGCCATCAACGGCCGATTCGTCGGCGATGAGAGGTTGTGGGCTCGCTAATCTGACGTGGGTCGGTGTAGACAAGGTGGAGCTGCGTCAGAGGCTGATGATGCCTGAGTATCTCCGTCTCGCCATGCGCGACTGTATCAAACGGAAAGATTCCACAGCTATTCCCGACCATTTGCTTCTTCCCGGCGGCGCCGTCGCCGATATGGCTCCTCACGCGCCAATGGTTGTCTTCATCAACCCCAAAAGTGGCGGTCGTCATGGTCCTGTGCTTAAAGAGAGGCTTCAACAGTTGATGAGCGAAGAACAGGTTTGCTTTACTCTCTGACTTCAATTTGATTTGCAATTACATAATGAAATACAAAAATCAAGTCTTTTTTCTAATTTGAAATCTAATTTACATCTACTTTAGTGGGTGTTTGTGTCTAGATTGTGAACGCAATCGGCCTGATCTATGGATTGGTTTAGTGTGCAGTAGAGATGTGTTTACTGTTCTGTCTTGCTTTTATCAGATCTTTCTGTTATTTGACTGATTCATGTGTTCATGCTGAGTTGATGTTGGATCTAGTGGTCTGGTAGGTAAAGTTGTGTTTTTTTCTTTTTTCCCTTCGTTAGAATGATGAGTTGACTTCAAAGGTGGAACATTTTTGAGTCTTTCTGTTTAAAGGGTGGAAATTTATTTGGAGTTTTGTGTAAAAGTTCTTGTCTTTTGACTGGTTTTTTTTATTATGGGAACTTAATAGTGATTCTGTGAAAAAAAACAGGTGTTTGATCTCACAGAAGTGAAGCCTCATGAGTTTGTTCGGTACGGTTTGGGTTGTTTGGAGAAAGTGGCAGCGGAAGGAGATGAATGTGCAAAAGAATGCAGAGCAAGGTTGAGGATTATGGTGAGAGTACACACATAGGTGTTTCTCAAATCTACTAGTCTTTGAGCTTGTTCCAGGAGTTTGAATGTGAAAAAATGGAATCTGGTTTTGATAGGTTGCAGGTGGAGATGGTACTGTTGGTTGGGTTCTTGGATGTCTTGGTGAGCTTAATAAAGATGGAAAGACACCAATTCCTCCTGTTGGCGTTATCCCTCTCGGCACAGGAAATGATCTCTCTAGGAGTTTTGGTTGGGTGAGAAGAACATTTCTTCTCTCTTTATGTTTTTCTTCTTTTTGGTCGCAAACAAGTCTCTTGAATTGTGAAAACTGAGTTTTGTTTGTTCTTCAGGGAGGTTCGTTCCCTTTTGCGTGGAGATCCGCTGTTAAAAGAACGCTCCATCGCGCAAGTATGGGTCCTGTTGCTCGTCTAGATAGGTAAAGAGTCTATTGTTTTTTCCGACAGAACCATTGCCTTTTTGTTCTGTTGGTCTTGTCGTAACAATGTGTGTGTTTGGCAGCTGGAAGATTTTAGTGTCAATGCCATCTGGAGAAGTCGTGGATCCTCCTTATTCTTTAAAACCAGCCGAGGAAAACGAACTTGATCAGGTTTGGCTCTGTTTCATTAGGGTTTGGTTCTTCTCATTGATTCATCACCATCATCATCATGTGCTTTGTAGTTTAACCGGTCTTTTCCTGTGGTTTTAGGGTTTGGAAACGGGAAATGACGCGCCTCCATTGGCAATGACCTATGAAGGCGTGTTCTACAATTACTTGAGCATAGGTTTGATGAAGAGCTTCTTCTCTTTTGATTTCCTAACAAAATTTTGTTTCAACTTAAACTAGATTCTTGCATCTGTCTTAGGTATGGATGCTCAAGTTGCATATGGCTTCCATCATCTTCGCAACACTAAACCATATCTTGCTCAAGGCCCTATTTCAAACAAGGTTTGTTATTATGTATATCTTCAGCCAAACTTTGAATCACTTTATATATCTCTGTTATGTCTTATTAACCACGCAGACGTTTGCTTTTTTGCAGATCATTTATTCGGGATTCGGTTGCACTCAGGGTTGGTTTTGCACGCCTTGTGTCAATGATCCAGGTTTAAGGTTCGATATTTGCCTTGTGTACTTTAAGTCTCCTCCATGTTTGTGTTACTGACCTTTTTGTTTTGTGGTATTTGAATTTGCAGGGGACTTAGGAACATACTAAAAATCCACATCAAGAAAGTTAACTGCTCTCAGTGGGAAGAGATCGCAGTCCCAAAAAAGTAAACAAACAGTTGCTTCAAACCTATTTACAATCTATGATCTAAAATGCTTAAACCTGATGATGCATGGATTTGGGTTTTGTCTTGTAGTGTGAGATCAATTGTTGCATTGAATCTTCAAAGCTATGGAAGTGGAAGCCATCCATGGGGTAATCTAAAACCGGACTATCTAGAGAAGGTAATTGCTTCTGTTTCATTCATTATAAGACTAAAAGTCACTGAACTCTCAAATCACTAAACGGTTTTTCGATTTCTTTCTTTCACAGAGAGGATTTGTGGAGGCACATTGTGATGATGGTTTGATAGAGATTTTCGGTTTCAAGCAAGGATGGCACGCGTCATTTGTCATGGCTGAGCTCATCTCTGCCAAGCACATAGCTCAGGTAACTTAGCAGAAAAAAACTCCGGTGAATCGTAAAAAAAGATCTTTGTGCTGAAAAGTTTCCGTTTATGTCAGGCTGCTGCGGTTAGATTTGAGCTAAGAGGAGGTGACTGGAAAGATGCGTTCTTGCAAATGGACGGCGAGCCATGGAAGCAACCGATGAACACTGACTACTCTACGTTCGTGGAGATAAAGAAAGTTCCTTTTCAGTCTCTGATGATAAATGGTGCGTGAGCGAGACTCAAAGCTTGGATTCTTTGTAGAGAAAGCTAATTGTTTTTTTTGTGTATTTGGATTTGATCATTTAGTCATCATATAGATATATAGCTGCTGCTTGAGTTATTGTTGGGTTTTGTAAATCTTTTCTTCTGTGAGAAATGAAGTTTGTGTAATTTATATTAAACGAAAAATTTCTCATATGCTCTTTTGCAACAAAGGTTTCCTCTTTAATCATACAAATTGTTCAACAAAGGCTATGAACAAGATCATACAAATTTGAAGAGAGAGATTCAAATCAAAGTGGCACAGAGAAAGAGAATTTGGCAATTGGTAGGGATAATGCAGAGAAAAAGGAGAAATGTTCTTCATTGAAGTTTGGACCCAATAGTTGTATTATTTTGTATAGGTTGGATATTAAATGTTAAAAGTTTTAAGATGACCGAAAACGAATTAATTCAGAGTAACAATCATGATTACCCGATTTCAAAATCAGGAAAACGAATCGAATTAGGAACAATCGGTATGTATAAAACCGTTAGAGATAACCAATGCTCTCCTTCCGGTTCATTTATATCAATCATACCAAACCATAACTCGGAATTTGAATTAAAACAACGGTACGCGTCTACGCAATTTCCTTATTTTCCCAGGTATTTCCTTTTTTTCCTTTTTTGTTTCTCAGTTTCCTTTTTTCCTTTTTTCCATTTTTGTTTCTCAGTTTCCTTTTTTCCGCCTAGGTTTAGTGAAAACGTAATCAGGAGATTTACACACACACACTCTCTCTATCTATATATATAGAGTTGATCCACACTATCGATAATCCGTTCCATAAACTTGATCACGGCAACAAAACCCTAATTCGCTAATTCTCTCTGTTTGATTCGTGCAGCAAAAACCCTAAATCGCTATTCTCTCTGTTTGGTTCCCTAAATCGCCATTCTCTCTGTTCTCTCGTTTCTGTTTGATTCCCTAAATCGCTATTCTCTCGTCTCTGTCTGTTTCGTGCCCCGGAAGTTATGGCGACAGCGACGAGGTTGGGTCGTGATTTGTTGTTCTCTTCTTCGTCATCCACAAGCAAAGCCCTTCGCGCGGCAACGCTAAAGGTTCGGTTCGCCGACATCATCGTCAAGTCCAAGCTTAAAAGCGCTGATGGAATGGCGAGGATCGAGAGGGAAAAGCTCCTTCTTCGGGAGAAAGCTAGAATCGCGGCTGAGACCAGAAGAGCCCTGAGGTTGAAACAACGTCGAGCGCTCGAGAAGATGGAGCGGGAAGCCAAAGCGGAACACCACTTGGTAACGGAGGACGAGTTCGTCAATCTTTGCGGTGGACCACGTCTCGCAGGAAGTCGGTGGTTGGTTCGAGATCTTGGTTTGGTTTTGAGAACCGAAGACGATGATGTCTATGATGATGAATCTCCCGAAAAGCCAAAGCCAGAAGCTTTCGATGATGTTGAGGAAGGTGAAATTGTTTAGACTTAGTATATTTGCCTATAACACGACTGTTTGCAATTTGTTGATTCATGAAATTGTTTAGACTTAGTATATTTGCCTATAAACTGTTTGCAATTTGTTGATTTTAATGTCTAGCAGATGTAGGATTTACGAAATATATCGTTTTTTTTGTTCTAACAAATTAAAACACATTGTTTTGGACCAATCCTCTTGTCACTTACGGTATGCTTAAAGAGGTTCTTGCAGCACCAAAACAATCTGTTTCTCTGTGGTGTTTTTTTGTTGCTCTAGAATCAATCGCCACTTCTCTGACTTTGTTATGAAAGTTGATAACCCTTTATCCAATTAACCACTTCTGAAATACAGAGCTAATATAACCAACAAGTTTAGTTCTTTCAAGTTCGGTTAAGACATTCAGCGATGTTGCTTGCTTTGGCTGTGCTAAAGTTTTCACGTCTTAAACTCTTGGAAGTATTATATACAACTATATAGCTGAGATGCTACCTTTATTCTGCAGAGAGATACAGTACAGATGCCCTTACGACAAGACTTGACGCTATCGAGCATGTAACTTGTAAGTTACAACAGTTATCGATGGTTCCTAGGATCAAGTTCATGTTGCTGCAAGAACTCCGTACGAACTGCAGCTGAAATGCCTCAAGCACGAGTTTGGCAATGCCTTGGGGGCTAAGATGAACTGAAAGAGCTTTGTTGCAGATATCCGGAGGATGAACGTTGATTTGATCATTTGCTGCTGTCTGCTACATGCATGAGAACTGAGAAGAGTGTTTAAGGATTGTGTCATATGTATTCAACGCAGGGACATTCATCTCGGTATGTTCGGAGTGGATAGATTTGAATTACAGAGCGACTAAACTTTTTGACTGCTTTCAAATTCGGTTGATACATTCATCGATGTTGGTTTGGCTGTGCTAAGCTTTCAGGTCTTTTAAGTCTTGTCACTATTCTGCAGACAAATGCCCTAACGACTTAGTCGAAAATGTAAGTTACAAGTTACCGATTCCTCAAAAGGTACCGAAGTGTATTTTGATTCAACTGACTTAAGTATTGATCAGATCAATGAAGAAGAACACAAGCGTGAGTAGTCCAACTCTTGGTTTCAACATCAAAACCATAAGTTACCAAAAGTAAAGGCTCTCTCTTTCTTCCTCTCTGCTTGTCCTGTAGCTTCTTGTTCTTCAGAATTAGTTTTAAGGGTATCATCAAACAGGTGATTTGTGTGTGAATGGTGTGTAGGTATACGCTGAACATATGGGATGTGGGTGGGAAAAAGACTATAAGATCGTACTGGAGGAACATATGATGTATTCATACTTCAAAGTAGAGACTTATTGATAAGCAAATCCAGAAGAATCTATCACCAAAAGATCAAAAGCATACAAGGAGAGAGAGAGAGAGAGAGAGAGAGAGAGAGAGAGAGAGAGAGAGAGAGAGAGAGAGAGAGAGAGAGAGAGAGAGAGAGAGAGAGAGAGAGAGAGATCACTTCGACTTCTTTCCTACTTTCTTCTTGACGACTTCGCGTTTATAGTATCTCATATGCTCTTTTGCCAATATCTGCTCATGTGTTTATACATCACCTGCAACAAAGGTTTACTCTTTAATCATACAAATTGTTCAACAAAGGGTATGAACAAGATCATACCAATTGTTAAACTCCGGAGAGATCTGTTGAAGAAAGAGATTCAATTCAAAGTGACACAGAGAAAGAGAATTTGGCAATTGGTAGGGATAATACAGAGCAAAAAGGAGAAATGTTCTTTGAAGTTTGGACCCAATAGTTGTATTATTTTGTTTGGGGTGGATATTATAATTTAAAAGTTTTAAGATGATCGAAAACGAAATTTAATAAAAGGTGTTAATAGGGTTTTAGTGTTCCTCTTTGAGATTTTTCTTTCCGAGAGATTCCCGACGTCGGCAGCCATGGCGAGCACCAAAGTTCAAAGGATTATGAACCAACCTATTGTGATTTTTCCTTGGATCTTCTCTGTTTCATATGTTTATTGTTCTCTTTTCGTTTACTGAATTTTGATTTGTTTTTTTTTCCGGTTGTTTCGCGGCGGCTCCAGAGCTTGATTTGTAGGGTTCTTCAAAGTGTAAGCTCGTTAATCACTCTTTCATTCTGAGTTTTCTTAGAGAGCCATGGATTTGCGTGGTTTAGGTTATTAGTGCGTCTTCTGATTCATTCTCTCGTCTTCTATACTTTTGATGCAGAAAGCTAGTCATCGTATTGAAGGAAGAAACACTGTAAGTCATCGTGCTTTCTTTAGCACTAATTGATGAAATTCCATCGTTTGCAAACTCTAGATTGTTACATTTTTTGCCTGATGGAAACTAGTTTTGATTCTTAGTGTTTGTTTAACACTGCTTTGTTCTGACTCACACTGCATTTGTATTGCTAAGATTTATCTTCTCGAGTTATACAATTGAAGGTGTTCTTAGGTTGACTCTGTGTTAACTCAGAGAAACTTGAGGATGTATGATTTTGTCATTGTCACTGGTTCTGAATTTGTAGTTGCCTAATTTGGCTTTGGATGTTCCTTGTTTCATTCAGTATTACGATTCATTTATTCTTCATTTAAGGTTGAAGTTTTTTCGGAGTTTCTTTAAATTTGGTGATTCCTATGCATACTCTGGTGAAAATATACTGTTCTTGATCTCCCCTTTAATCTATGCAGTTGACAACCGTTTTACAAAGAGGAGCATCAAGGCAAGCCATTGCTGATTCGGGTCTCATGAGTGTGGTGGTGAGACTAAGATGTTAGTTTAATAGCTGCTTACTCCATATTGGGCATCGATGTTAGTTTAATATCTCTCATCTTTTTTTTTTTGTTTCGTATGCAGGACTCAAATAGAGCAAAGGGTCAGGCCAAAATAATGTGTAATGAAACTTTCAAATCATTAGGGTTGTGTAGTGGTTGTGACGATGATATGCTTGCAGGACTATTGTTTGGCTTCCGAAATCAGCAAGCAAGAATGCGTATGGAATATCGGTCTTGCATTTCTAGATCTTTTGCATCAAGAACTTCTAAAGAACCTGGCAATAAGGTGAGTTAATAAAGAATATACACTCTCTGTGTTGGCCGTTTATCACAATGAGAGAGGCATATACAACTATAGTCATCTAATCGATATGTGTTGCTGCTTGGAGGGTCTTATTATGACATTGATGGTGCTTTGTCGATTATGTTTGACAGGCTAGGAAAGAGGTGACAACTGTGGAGGATCCATTTGATTCTCCTACGTACCATATCCCGGAGAAGCCGGTGACGTTTACAGAAGGTGCTTCCTACAGTCTTGTGATTCTTGCTGGGCTTGGTGTCGCTGGAGCTGCTGGGTACGCTGTGTTGAAAGAGCTCGTGTTTCAACCAAAAGAGTGAGGCTTCAGGACTCTCTAGTCTCTGCTTAATACACTAGGAGTTGGAATAATAATCTAAAGAAACAATGTGTAGGTACAAGATCTTTGACAAAGCCTTGAAGAGAATCAAAGATGACAGTCAGGTAATAAGAAACGGATTCCCCATATAATATAAGAGTGGATCATAATATGCAACGATGATGCTGAGGTTGTTGACATGTTTAACTAGGTGAGGGTTAGGATTGGATCACCCATCACAGGGTACGGACAAGAATCCAGAAACCGAGCTGCTCGTCAACGTATACCAAACAGAGTGTTTACAGATGAAGACGGTGTAGAGCATGTTGAGGTAATTCATTCTTCCTTCCTTGTGCCCATAAGTTGACAATCTCAACATACAGTAATACTCAAAAAACTATGGTTTTCAGGTGAACTTCTTCATCCGTGGGCCTCACGGAGCAGGGAAAGTGTACAGTGAGATGTTTAGAGACAAGACAGACAAAGAGTGGAAATACACTTACCTCATCGTTGAGATTTTAGCTCCTTCTCCAGCCAAACTCATGCTCGAGTCCTATTTGCCCGCCTAGACTCACTCACACACACTCCTTGGTTCTGTTTTCTAATGTTTCAGTTCGATCCGGATAACATAACTCATAAACTAATAGGACATCCTTTTAACCAGACATATGTTGCATTCCTGCTACTGTCTGAATCTCGTCCTGCTAATTGTTTTGGTATTTGGATTACTGTTGGTTTTTGTAAATCTTTGTTTTGTTAGCAATGAAGTTTTGTGTATTTTTTTTTTTATAAGAATATGAGCCAAAACTCATACTCCATAGCTTTCGCCACCGTCAAAACTTGCTTCTCCATAATCTGAAGATTCAATTCAAAAGATTCTAATTCGAGACAGAGAGAGATTCTGCAATTTGGGTAGGGATGATAAATGTCGAGAGAAAGGAGACAAAAATTAGAATTTTGGGCCCAATAGTCTAATTAGTTTTTATGTCGGTGGAAATTTACATTTTTAATGTTTACGAGGACCGAAAACGAGTTTTAACAAAAATAATGTTATAAACAGCGTATTTCTGAGTCAAGTCTCGATTTAGGGTTTTAGCGTTCCTCTCAGCGAATTTTGTTTTTTCTTTCCCCGAAGCTTCAGAGAGAATCCCAACGTCGGCAGCCATGGCGAGCACCAAAGTTCAGAGGATTATGACCCAACCTATCGTGAGTTTCCTTGTTTTTCCTCTGTTTCATGTGATTATCGTTCCGAGTATTTTCTCTCTATAGTCCTTAATTGAGTTTTGCTTTGTTTTCCGGTGGTTTCGCGGCGGCTCCAGAACTTGATTTTTAGGTTTCTTCAAAGTGTAAGCTCGTTAATCTCTCTTCATTCTGAGTTTGCTTAGAGATCCACGGATTAGTGTTGTTTAGGTTATGAGTGCGCCTTCTGATTCGTGCTCTTTGTGATGCAGAAAGCTAGGATTCAGATTTGGCTCTTTGAGCAGAAAGATCTAAGGATTGAAGGAAGAATCACTGTAAGTCATCATATTTTCTTTTGAGTTACGCACTTCTTTCGCTGTGAATTTATGAAATTTCTCTGTGATTATCGTTTGTAGAATCTAAATTGTTGGCATTTTTTTGCCGGAATTTGAGTACTTTATTGGAGAATTGTTGACATTGTTTGGTTATTTGTCGCTGATGCTACTGCACAAAGCACTGATAGGAGTCTGTCAATGGAAGTTAGTTTAGATTCTGAGGATTTGTCCACGCTTTATCCTGACTCTACTGCATTTCTTTAACTCTCGACTTATATTTGACACTGTTCTTAGGTTGACTCTTTGTTAGTTCAGAGAAACTTGAGATGTATAATTGTGTCATTGACATTGGTTCTGAATTTGTAGTTGCCTACTTTGGCTCTGGATGTTCCTTCTTTATTTTTCTCGAGTTAAAGATTGAGTCTTTTCTTAGACTCTGTGCTAACTCAGAGAAACTTGCGATGTATGATTGTGTCATTCTCATTGGTTTGAAGCTTGGAGTTGTCTACGATTCTTTTGCTTAGTTTTGAGGTTGAAGTCTTTTTTTTGGAATAGCTTCAGATATGTGATTGTAACATTCTCATTGGTTTGAAAATTTGGAGTTTGTTTACTTGACGTTATGGGTGTATCATTGATTCCTCGTTTCAATTTCTCCTTTTTGCAGGGTTTTGACGAGTACATGAATCTAGTGTTGGATGAAGCTGAAGAAGTGAGCATCAAGAAGAACACCAGGAAGCAACTCGGTGAGTTTATCCTGGACTCAACTCTTTGATAACAAGTCTCTCGTTACATCTCTTGATTTGTTTGCGTATGGTTCTATAACTTATATTTTCAGGAAGGATCTTACTTAAAGGAGACAACATAACTCTGATGATGAACTCGTAAGTAAAACACAGTCTTTAACTTGTCCTTTCTCTTTATGATATTAGCAAATTGATTTGTCACTTTATAATAACAAGATATTGAAAACACAATCTATTTCTTTGTTAACAGGGGAAAGTAATCTCTTCTCAACAAACTCTCTCGAGGATTAGTGGATCGGCTTTTGGATTTTCTCTAAAGCCTTTGCTATAAATATATGTTGAGCTCTTCTTCAGTTTAATTGGGTACTTGACAATGCCTTCTTCCCTTTAGTATCCTGTAATATTGCAATTTACTGACAACTTTGAGAAATTAAGAGAGCTTGTTTGAATCTAATGGATTGTTATTGTCCCTTTTTGGTTTGCTGTAATATGGAGTTATTTTTATTTCGTAAGAGCATATTATTTTACTAATACACATATAATTGGAAATATGAAACAATTCATTGAAGCTGTAATGTCAAATTTCATTTACTTTTTAGTTACTAAAAAGTAGAAACATATAAAATTAAACCCATTTGATTTGATTCATAGGCTCAGCAAGACTGAAATCAACTATTTTTAAAAGACCAATCCGAATAATCTGTTAATTAGAGAAGGGTTAATTTTAAAGTAAAAGTTGTGTAAAGTTAACTTAGAAATAAAGAAATCTATATGACACTACACTTTTCCATTGCAATTAGATCTTTTTTATTCATATAATCTATTTTTTATAAACCCATGTTGGATCTTATCCCTAATCTTCTATTGGTGATATGGTGATGTGTATGTGTACTTTGTACTATTATAATCGTGTAACAAAAAAATTAAAAAATTGGTCTTTATACAACAAAACTCCAAAGTATTGATTTTATATTGTCTACTTTAGAATATAGCATGTGCTGAAAATACAACCACTAGCCGCCGGCCCAACAGTGTCGACCAATAGCCGAACAGAAAAGTGGCGGCAGTTCAAGCTTACGGTGGTCTTGCTCGCACCAGATACTTATCTTAATTTTTAGTAAAACCAGTCAAAGTACTCGACTAATAACACATATGTAGAAAGAAAGACAAGTGCTTCAAGTAAAATTAATTTTTGATCTTTAATTACGAAAGCGAAGAGCTTTGGATTTCTTTTTTCTCTCTCTCTCTCTATCCAAACCAAACACCATTTCTGAGGGTACTATTTTCTCTCTCCTTCGAATCGAATTTCAGTTTCTCTTCAGCTTGAAGAAACTCAAAGTAGAAATCAAAACCCCCCACTTTTTTTTCTGGGTCGATCTTGTTGCGGTAATTTTTTGATTTTTGAGTTTTAAAAGGGGAGATTTTGAGACTCTTTCTCTGAGCTTTTTCATTGATTTTGAAATTGGTGAATTGTCTTTTGCTTGTCTCGCTCTTACAGATCGAAAACATTTGGAGCTTTTAGCTGTGGAAATTTGGGGGAAGAAGAAATGCAGACGAGGTATATGGAGAGGACTAATAGTATGAGAGAAAAGAGAAAATTGGATGAAGATAATCAGCAGCAGCAGCAGCAGCCTGAGCGTAAAAGGCCTGCTCTTGCAAGGTGATCTATGTTTATACTTGTATCAGCTACAAACCCTTTAATTTGTTTCCTCTGAATTCAGATTGGAATTGAAGAGAAATTGGATTTATAGTTGTATGAAGGCCAAAAAAAGGGGTTAAATTTGGATTTTGAGAAAGTTATGCGTGTGTTTTGCAGTGTAATTGTGGAGGCCCTTAAGATGGATAGTTTACAGAGGCTTTGCTCGTCTTTGGAACCGATTCTTCGCCGAGTGGTAAGACTTAAAAAAGGCTCTTTTTGGTGCTTTGTGTTGTCTATTTTAACTTCTTTGGGGTTGTCTTGCTTATTGATTTGTCTTGTGTGATCATTGTCAAACAGGTAAGTGAAGAGGTGGAGAGGGCGTTGGCGAAACTAGGCCCTGCAAGACTTAGTGAAAGGTAACAATATGAAGTTTCTAGGCGAAGAAAAGGATATAGTGAGTCGTGAAAGGTAACAATTTGGAGTAATGCGCTTGAGTTTCTACAGGTCGTCTCCTAAACGAATCGAAGGAGTCGGTGGGAGGAACTTGCAGCTGCAATTCAGGTCTAGATTGTCTGTTCCTTTGTTCACCGGAGGGAAGATAGAAGGGGAGCAAGGTGCTGCGATCCATGTTGTGCTTCTGGATGTTACTACAGGACATGTGTTGACAGTAGGACCTGAAGCTTCTGCGAAGCTCGACGTCGTTGTTCTCGACGGTGATTTCAACAACGAAGACGATGAAGGTTGGAGCGGAGAAGAGTTTGACGGTCATCTGGTGAAAGAGCGTCAGGGAAAGAGACCTCTCTTGACCGGTGACTTACAGGTGACGCTTAAAGAAGGTGTGGGGACATTAGGAGAACTTATCTTCACAGACAACTCTAGTTGGATAAGATGCAGAAAGTTCAGGCTGGGTTTAAAGGTCTCTTCTGGTTACTGTGAGGGTATGCGTGTACGCGAGGCAAAGACAGAAGCTTTTACCGTCAAGGACCATCGTGGAGAGTGTAAGTTCCTCACTTTCTCTTTTTTGGAGTCTCACATCCGCAACATGTTTCTTTTGCCTAATGGTTCTTCTCTACAGTGTACAAGAAACATTATCCACCTGCTTTGGATGATGAGGTATGGAGGCTGGAGAAGATTGGGAAGGACGGGGCTTTTCATAAGAAGCTGAACAAAGCAGGGATCTACAATGTTAAAGAGTTCCTGCGTCTTATGGTCAAAGACTCTCAGAAGCTACGGACTGTAAGTTCACGAACTCTTGATACAGTGTCTTAAATCAAGGTGTTGAAAATATTCATCTTGGTGATGACTCTTTACTCTTGATTGTTCAGATTCTTGGAAGTGGAATGTCGAACAGGATGTGGGAGACACTTGCAGAGCATTCCAAGACATGTGTCTTGAGTGAAATGCTTTACGTCTACTATCCAGAGGACTCTGTTGGTGTTGTATTCAACAATATCTACGAGTTTAGTGGTTTAATCTCAGGGAAGCAGTATTATCCCGCTGATTCTCTCTCTGACAACCAAAAGGTTTGTGTTTTCTGAGCCTTCTGCTTCTTATAGATTCACATTGCTCGGTAGATAGTAAAATGTTGATGTATAATATAGGGTTATGTCGATGGATTGGTGAGGAAAGCTTATGAAAACTGGGATCAAGTTGTTGAGTATGACAGCAAGTCACTGATGAACTTCGACCAAGTTAACAAAACGGCTGAATTAGATTACTCAATGCCAGTTTCGGTTCCAAGCCAACCTTCCACGTCTTACTCTGACGTAACTGGTGAAGGTAGAGAGGTTCATTAGCCATAAAAAAAACACATTTCTTCTCTCTTTCTGTGTGAAATGAAAACCGAGCTAACACTTATTCATTTGGGTTTTTTTCAGCATCAGTTTACAACCAGAGCACGGGTTCAAGCTTCCCGGCTCAGTCTCAGCTTGCTGATACTAGCTCTTACATGCACTATGGGAACACTTCATTTGCACCGCAAGAACAGCTGATTAACAACAATCATGAATCACAAACCATGATCAGTAATAGCCACGGTGGTTCAAGATTAGCGCTTGGTCCACCAGCAGGATCTCAGAGCCAACACTTGGTTCAGCCTCCCCATCAGATGAGTAACTCTTTCAATGATTGGTCAAACACAGGAAACAGAGGAGGTGATGGGTTTTTATCAGAGGAAGAGATCAGGGCAAGAAGCAACGAGATGCTCGAGAACGACGATATGCAGCAGCTGTTGAGACTCTTTAGCATGAGCGGCGGTGATCAGCAGACTCCGATGAACATGCCGGAAGATGGGTTTGGGTTTCATTCCTTTGGTCAGTCTTCAATGGCTGATTACGAAGAGGACCGTTCACATTCAGGTAAGCCTGTTGTTGGATGGCTAAAGATCAAAGCAGCCATGAGGTGGGGCTTCTTCATCAGGAGGAAAGCTGCTCAGAGACGGGCACAGATTGTTCAGCTCGATGATGACGAATAGTTTCCAGGAGAAGGAAGGAAACAGAGTCTGAGATGGTTTGGTAACAGTTTCCCAGAAGAAGAAGTCTTTTGTTTTGGTTTCTTCTTCTTGTGGAGCTTCATTTGTATAGTTAAAGCTTTCTTTCTTTTTTCTCTTCTTGCTTGTGCTTGTAATGTAATCTCTCTACTTTACCAGTTTTCAAGAAACTAAAAAAACATGTTGTAATTCTATTGTGTATTTTCTCTCGTGTTTGTTTTTTTTGGAGGATTAATAATAAAATGATTTTTTAGAAATATTTTTCTTTTAATTAACTTTTTTCTGATATCATGATTTATTTTTTGGTTGAGAAATACTTTTTTGTACATGCGTATTTTGTCTTACATGTAAAATGAGTTGTTGATAAAAAGAAGAAGAAAGTGTAACGAGTTGTTAGATAAAGAGAAGAGCATTTTCTTTTATTAGTGGTCCAAAGAAGTAATCAAATCGAATTTAATCTAAAGTTATGAAATAATAAAGTTTGGTTTAATTATTTGTTCAAGTTGATTTTCAAACATGAATAACCAAAACAAAATAAAAAATAAAAGAAAAAGGAAAAATCAAAACTTTCTTTCATGTGTTGAATGCAAAATTTTACAAGTTTGGTGCCAAAATTAGCAAAATTGGGTCAGAAAACAAGTTTTTGTCGACTGTACCATAAAACAAATTAGCCCAAAATACCAAAATGAGACTCTTTTTCTTCAACTAATCATTTCGGGCGACGAAAAATCATTCTTTTCAGGTTTTTCCGATCTACAAACAATCGTTTTCAATTTCGAATTGTGGTTTTTTGTCGCCTGAGCCATAAAACAAATTAGCCCAAAATGCCAAAATGAGACTCTTCTTCTTCAACTAATCACTTCAGGCGACGAGAAATCATTTCTTTCAGGCTTTCCCGATCTACAAGCAACAGCTTCCAACTTCGAATCGTGGCTTCCATTGCGTTTCCAAACTTCACTTTTATACAGGTGACTCTTGTTTATCTCTTTTTTTTCTTTTATTTTTACTATTTTGCGCTGTTTAGATTTCTATTCCATTGATAATTTTTATAAAGTTGTTTCTGGGAGGTACGATTGTTTAGATTTCTATTCCATTGAATCTTGGAGGTACGATTGTTTAGAGACTGATTTATTGAATTTGTAACGGATATAACTGCCATAAACATTACAAGTCTGTACAAAACATTTTTAAGTCTGCTACATTGTAAACAAACATGTAAAGTTATTATAATTTACATGTTATCAGAACAGAAATCCTTTTTCTTTTTTTGCTTAAAAATGAAGATTTTGGATTTTTGTTTTGATCTAATTGATGTTAGTCGTTCACGAACTTCAAAACAGGTTCTCTTCTGAAAAACGAGATTTCTATTGGCTGCAATAATCCCATTAACGAATTTGATAATTTTACTAAATGTATCACTAAATCCAAATATTGTTATTAACCCGATAGGAACAAATGAAAGACCATGCTGTTTGCCATCAGTGCTCGAACTCGGAGGAGAAAACTCTTATCTTTTGCAATGAATGTGAAAATACATATTGTTATCAATGTACAAAGAAATGGTAAGTTGTTGTCTTAAATTACACATCTCATTAATATACGTTTTGATTTATAAATTGATTTGTGGTTTGTTGCAGGTATTCACATCTATCTGACAAGGAGGATGTCGTTCAAAAATGTCCTTTTTGACGAAAAATTTGTAACTACAACAAATGCTAGAAAAGGAATGATATAATTGAGGTAAATGAGAAATCTTTAGCATCCATTCGCAGATGATTTGGTTTTTAAGAGAACCCCAAGATGGTTTTTTTTGTTTGTTAACATAGTCTTTTGTGTTTCTGTCTTCAAAGACATCAAAGAGCAACCTCACGATTCCTGAAAGACGCCATCATCTCGAGTACCTGATTACATTGATGCTTCCATTTCTGAATATGTTATTTGAAGCTCAAAAGCAAGAGATAGAAGTCGAGGCAAAGATTCAAGGTATGAATCTTCCGCTACTAAGATATGGTTTATGCTCTTTCCGAAAGATTTCTGCTAACATATATTTGACCTGTTTTCTATAGAATTACTGTCTTCTGAAGTTGAGGTAACTCAGATAAAAAGCTACATTAAGGAACTCATTTACTGGTAAGTCCCCTTAAGTTATCTAATACAGAGTTGGGATCTTCAGAGTTAGGATCTTTCAGTTCAGTTTAATTGATTACTGAGAATCATCTTGTGTTGCAGTAATTACTGCCATACTTCAATTTTTAACTTGCACCGACGCTGCCCAAAGTGCAAGTATGAACTTTGTTTAGACTGCTGTCAAGAGATTCGCCAAAGATTTTTTTGTGCACAACCTGAAATGAAGCTACAATATGCGGATAAAGACTATCTATATATACACGGTTTTAATGCTGTAAAACCGAGCTCCACTTCCGATCATGGGGGAAAAGAAGAACCTAACCAATCCGTTAAGTGGCACGCTGGTTATAACAGAAGGATCACTTGTGCACCAAAAGAGCTAGGTGGTTGTGGTCGTCATAGTATCTTGGAGCTTAAACGAATCTTTACGCCAACATGGATGTCAGACTTGAAACAAAAAGCAGAGGCTTTCAGGGCGTCATACAAAAAAAGTCCTAGAATGTCAAACTATAGGTGTCCTGGTTTAAAAACTGATATGAAGAGAAAAGCAGCTTCGAGGAAATCAAGCGACAACTACCTGTTCTCTCCTGGATCTATTGATGTCTTGAAAGAAGAAGAGCATCTGCATTTTCAAGAGCATTGGGCAAAAGGCGAACCAGTAATCGTTAGGGACACTCTGGAAAACACACCTGGTTTAAGCTGGGAACCGGACGTTATGTTGCGAGCTATATGCGAAAAGAGGAGGAATTCATCAACAGAAAATTCTAGATAATTCATGATCAGGGCAATTGATTGTTTAGCTAATTGTGAGGTCGACATCAGTGCACGTGACTTCTTTGATGGTTACAGGATAGGAAGAACATATGATAACCTCTGGCCTGAGATGTTGAAGCTAACAAACTGGCCTCCTTCTAATAAATTTCAAGATCTTTTGCCTCGTCACTGTGACGAGTTCATATCTGCGTTACCTTTCCACGAATATAGTAATCCAAGAACCGGAATTCTTAACATTGCAACAAAGCTTCCTGATGAACTTCTCAAAGTAGATATGGGTCCCAAAACTTACATTGCCTATGGGATTCCATATGAGCTAGGGAGAGGCGATTCAGTAACTAAGCTTCACTGTGATATGTCAGACGCGGTTAATATTCTGACTCATACAGCTGAAGTAACTCTAAGTAAAGAACAAAAATCTGTGGTTCAAAATCTGAAACAGAGACACAAGGACCAGGATGAGCTTGGAGGTAACGTTATAATTGGGTGTTTCAGCCAAGAAAAGGAAAATGAACCTGCCGTGGCAGAGATTCTGAGCTCTCTAAAACAGATACACAAGGACCGGAATAAGCTTGAAGATAACGGTATTATTGGGTGTTGTAGCCAAGAAGAGGAAGAAGAACCCAACGTGCCAGAGATTCTGAGCTATGAAAGTGAACAGAATCATGAAGAAACGGGAAGTGCTAAATGGGACATATTTAGGAGAGAAGATGTTCCTAAGTTAGAAGAGTATCCGGTTACGAAGGTGATATACCTGCAACAACCTTTTTGACTGATATTTACTTTCTTGGTGGACTGACAATTTTTGTCTTCAAGGTTTATCATCCGATACATGACCAATCATGCTATTTGATCATAGAGCATAAAAGAAAACTCAAGGCTGAATTTGGTAAGTATTCAAACAACTATATGTTACTCTTTTTCGACTGGATTGGGTTATATTGACGGTTTATATCTTGTCTGTAATTGTAGGGATCGAGCCATGGACATTTTTGCAAACTCTAAGAGAAGCGGTGTTTATTCCCGCGGGTTGTCCTCATCAAGTTTGGAATCTAAAGGTAAAACTTTTTCCGTTTTAAGTAGAAAGGTCAGATGATAGAGAGAACTGTTGGAGGTCTAAGTACAACTCATTCTCAAACCATATGGTTGTTAGACTACTTACCAAGCCTTGAGTTTTTTGGTGATCTGATCAGAAATGCTGAGGTCTAAGTAAAACTGAATAATTTCTGATCTTCCACTTTTATTATCGTCATACCATTTGCTTTGTAGTGCAAACTTTAATGAAAAACTGTATTTTTGAGTGAACAGTCGAAGACAAAAGTAGCAGTTGGCTTTGTGTCACCAGAGAACATCCATGAGTGTTTGCGTCTGACTGAAGAGTTTCACCAACTTCCCAAGGAACATAGAGGCAGGGTGGAAAAACTTGAGGTCAGTCTTTGTCTTTTTCAATTATCTCTTCACCACTTATATATCTTCTTATTTGTTATGATCATTATTATTGTGAGCTTCTTATTGCGTGTAGGGTTGATGATGCCGCGTAGGTTAGCCAAACTACTGGTATAAATGGTACAATTGGTTCAACTAGAAAAATTAGTATAACTATCAGAAATATGTACTTTGGTAACGGCATATTTTCTCTTCTAAATGATTGAGCAAATTTTTTGAGAGTTTGCTCGACTGTGTGTAGATAATCATCTTCTCTATTATTGCTCTTTTCTATTTATATTCAATCACTTGCTTGAACATTTTAGGCTTTTCATGTACTAGATAAAAAAGATGATGATCTACGCGGCCAAGAAAGCATTCGAAGAACTAGAATCAGTATCATGAGAGACTGATAGAACAGTACCAGGAAAGACTGATACAACAGTACCAGGAGAGACTGATACAACATCAGGAGAGACTGATACGCGAAAGAAGGAAAAAGTGTTGCTCATGTACAGCCGAAGAAAGAAGTGAGTTTAATTTTTTTCGTTTTTAGAATTGGATTATGGTCTTGGTGTTAGATTTATAATTGATTGTGTCTTGGTTTTTCGTGGTTAAAAAAATATTTCTGATACTTGATTAATGCAATTTTTCAAGGACGTCGACTAAAACAAATGTGGATTTGCAATTTCTCTTGCAGTTATATTCACTTGGTCGTGAGCCAGAGATTGATAAAAGCCTCAATTACCATAGCAAGATAAATTTTCTGCAAGATGTGGAAAAAGCTGTTGGAAAAGAAGTGTGGGACCACATTTGTAATTCATCTTTGGGAATAGTTGTGCGGTTCATTGAAAATAAATTCAGTTGGTCCTCAAAGGTTGTTGAAAATCTGCTTGTGAAGCAACTTTTTTGCGAGAAAAAATACGAGATATGGTGCTTGTTCGGTAGTACAACGGCTCGGCTTTTCCTGTCAGAGTTCAAAATCATAACGGGTCTAAACTATGCACCTTTACCTAAAGAGAATGATAATGAAATAGATGTGGGAAACGATGTGCACAAAGAGTTGTGGGCAAAGATATGAGTCAAGGAAAGTGAGAACCCAAGCAAGCAAGATCTGATGAAAGTGGTTAAGAAGGATGTTGCAGCTTGGCCAAAAGAAGACAAAATTCGCTTTGCATATTTGTCCATTTTAGCTACTGTCATCATCGGTAGTGATTTCAAGACAAATCTATATAAACTAGCTCGTATGGTCTTCGATTTGAAAAACCTACATTGATGCTTCCATTTCTGAATATGCTATTTGAAGCTCAAAAGCAAGAGATAGAAGTCGAGGCAAAGATTCAAGGTATGAATCTTCCGCTACTAAGATATGGTTCACGCTCTTTTTGAAGGATTTCTGCTAACATATATATGACCTGTTTTCTATAGAATTACTGTCTTATGAAGTTGAGGTAACTCAGACAAAAAGCTACATTAAGGAACGTATTTACTGGCAAGCCTTCTTAAGTTATCTAATACAGAGTTGGGATCTCCAGAGTTAGGATCTTTCAGTTCAGTTTAATTAATTTCTGACAATCATCTTGTGTTGCAGAAATCACTGCCAAACTTCAATTTTTGACTTACACCGACGCTGCCCAAAGTGCAAGTATGAACTTTGTTTAGACTGCTGTCAAGAGATTCGCCAAAGATTTTTTTGTGCACAACCTGAAATGAAGTTACAATATGCGGATAAAGGCTACCCATATATGCACAGTTTTAGTGCTGTAAAACCGAGCTCCACTTCTGTTCCTGAGGACAAAGAAGAACCTAACCAATCCGTTAAGTGGCACACTGGTTATAACAGAAGGATCACTTGTGCACCAAAAGAGCTAGGTGGTTGTGGTCATCATAGTATCTTGGAGCTTAAATAAATCTTTCCGCCGACATGGATGTCAGACTTGAAACAAAAAGCAGAGGCTTTCAGGGCGTTATACAAAAAAAGTCCTAGAATGTCAAACTGTAGGTGTCCTGGTTTAAAAACTGATATGAAGAGAAAAGCAACTTCGAGGAAATCAAGCGACAACTACCTGTTCTCTCCCAGATCTATTGATGTCTTCAAAGAAGAAGAGCTTCTGCATTTTCAAAAGCATTGGGCAAAAGGTGAACCAGTAATCATTAGGGACACTCTGGAAAACATACATGGTTTAAGCTGGGAACCGGACATTATGTTGCGAGCTATATGCGAAAAGAGGAAGAATTCATCAACAGAAAATTCTAGGAAATTCATGATCAGGGCAATTGATTGTTAGCTAATTGTGAGGTCGACATCACTGCACGTGACTTCTTTGATGGTTACAGGAAAGGAAGAACATATGATAACCTCTGGCCTGAAATGTTGAAGTTAACAGACTGACCTCCTTCTAATAAATTTGAAGATCTTTTGCCTCGTCACTGCGACGAGTTCATATATGCGTGTAGGGTTGATGATGCCGCGTAGGTTAGCCAAACTACTGGTATAAATGGTGCAATTGGTTCAACTAGAAAAATTAGTATAACTATCAGAAATATGTACTTTGGTAACGGCATATTTTATCTTCTAAATGATTGAGCAAATTTTTTGAGAGTTTGCTCGACTGTGTGTAGATAATCATCTTCTCTATTATTGCTCTTTTCTTTTTATATTCAATCAATTGCTTGAACATTTTAGGCTTTTCATGTACTAGATAAAAAAGATGATGATCTGCGCGGCCAAGAAAGCATTCGAAGAACTAGAATCAGTATCAGGAGAGACTGATAAATCAGTACCAGGAAAGACTGATACAACAGTACCAGGAGAGACTGATACAACATCAGGAGAGACTGATATGCGAAAGAAGGAAAATGTGTTGCTCATGTACAGCCGAAGAAAGAAGTGAGTTTTGTTTTTTTCGTTTTTAGAATAGGATTATGGTCTTGGTGTTAGATTTATGATTTATTGTGTCTTGTTTTTTCATGGTTAAAAAAAAATTTCTGATACTTGATTTATGCAATTTTTCAAGGACGTCGACTAAAACAAATGTGGATTTGCAACTTCCCTTGAAGTTATATTCACTTGGTCGTGAGCCAGAGATTGATAAAAGCCTCAATTATCATAGCAAGATAAATTTTCTGCAAGATGTGGAATAGGCTGTTGGAAAAGAAGTGTGGGACCACATTTGTAATTCATCTTTGGGAATAGTTGTGCGGTTCGTTGAAAATAAATTCAGTTGGTCCTCAAAGGTTGTTGAAAATCTGCTTGTGAAGCAACTTGTCTGCGAGATAAAATACGAGATATGGTGCTTGTTCGGTAGTACAACGGCTCGGCTTTCCCTGTCAGAGTTCAAAATCATAACGGGTCTAAACTGTGCAACTTTACCTAAAGAGAATGATAATGAAATAGATATGGGAAACGATATGCACAAAGAGTTGTGGGCAAAGATATGAGTCAAGGAAAGTGAGAACCCAAGCAAGCAAGATCTGATGAAAGTGGTTAAGAAGGATGTTGCAGCTTGGCCAAAAGAAGACAAAATTTGCTTTGCATATTTGTCCATTTTAGCTACTGTCTTCATCGGTGGTGATTTCAAGACAAACCTATATAAACTAGCTCGGATGGTCTTCGATTTGAAAAACCTACATTGATGCTTCCATTTCTGAATATGCTATTTGAAGCTCAAAAGCAAGAGATAGAAGTCGAGGCAAAATTTAAGGTATGAATCTTCCGCTACTAAGATACGGTTTATGCTCTTTTTGAAGGATTTCTGCTAACATATATTTGACCTGTTTTCTATAGAATTACTGTATTCTGAAGTTGAGGTAACTCAGACAAAAAGCTACATTAAGGAACGTATTTACTGGTAAGCCTTCTTAAGTTATCTAATACATAGTTGGGATCTTCAGAGTTAGGATCTTTCAGTTCAGTTTAATTGATTACTGACAATCATCTTGTGTTGCAGAAATCACTGCCAAACTTCAATTTTTGACTTACACCGACGCTGCCCAAAGTGCAAGTATGAACTTTGTTTAGACTGCTGTCAAGAGATTCGCCAAAGATTTTTTTGTGCACAACCTGAAGTGAAGTTACAATATGCGGATAAAGGCTACCCATATATGCACGGTTTTAGTGCTGTAAAACCGAGCTCCACTTATGTTCCTGAGGACAAAGAAGAACCTAACCAATCCGTTAAGTGGCACGCTGGTTATAACGGAAGGATCACTTGTGCACCAAAAGAGCTAGGTGGTTGTGGTCGTCATAGTATCTTGGAGCTTAAATGAATCTTTCCGCCGACATGGATGTCAGACTTGAAACAAAAAGTAGAGGCTTTCAGGGTGTTATACAAAAAAATTCCTAGAATGTCAAACTGTAGGTGTCCTGGTTTAAAAACTGATATGAAGAGAAAAGCAGCTTCGAGGAAATCAAGCGACAACTACATGTTCTCTCCCGGATCTATTGATGTCTTGAAAGAAGAAGAGCTTCTGCATTTTCAAGAGCATTGGGCAAAAGGCGAACCAGTAATCGTTAGGGACACTCTGGAAAACATACATGGTTTAAGCTGGGAACCGGACGTTATGTTGCAAACTATATGCGAAAAGAGGAGGAATTCATCAACAGAAAATTCTAGGAAATTCATGATCAGGGCAATTGATTGTTAGCTAATTGTGAGGTCGACATCATTGCACGTGACTTCTTTGATGGTTACAGGAAAAGAAGAACATATGATAACCTTTGGCCTGAAATGTTGAAGCTAACAGACTGACCTCCTTCTAATAAATTTGAAGATCTTTTGCCTCGTCACCGCGACGAGTTCATATATACGTGTAGGGTTGATGATGCCGCGTAGGTTAGCCAAACTACTGGTATAAATGGTACAATTGGTTCAACTAGAAAAATTAGTATAACTATCAGAAATATGTACTTTGGTAACGGCATATTTTCTCTTCTAAATGATTGAGAAAATTTTTTGAGAGTTTGCTCGACTGTGTGTAGATAATGATCTTCACTATTATTGCTCTTTTTTTTTTATATTCAATCACTTGCTTGAACATTTTAGGCTTTTCATGTACTAGATAAAAAGATGATGATCTACGCGGCCAAGAAAGCATTCGAAGAACTAGAATCAGTATCAGGAGAGACTGATAGAACAGTACCAGGAAAGACGGATACAACAGTACCAGGAGAGACTGATACAACATCAGGAGAGATTGATACGCGAAAGAAGGAAAATGTGTTGCTCATGTACAGCCGAAGAAAGAAGTTAGTTTTGTCTTTTTCGTTTTTAGAATTGGATTATGGTCTTGGTGTTAGATTTATGATTTATTGTGTCTTGGTTTTTCATGGTTAAAAAAAAATTTTCTGATACTTGATTTATGCAAGTTTTCAAGGACGTCGACTAAAACAAATGTGGATTTGCAATTTCCCTTGCAGTTATATTCACTTGGTCGTGAACCAGAGATTGATAAAAGCCTCAATTACCATAGCAAGATAAATTTTCTGCAAGAGGTGGAAAAGGCTGTTGGAAAAGAAGTGTGGGACCACATTTGTAATTCATCTTTGGGAATAGTTGTGCGGTTCATTGAAAATAAATTCAGTTGGTCCTCAAAGGTTGTTAAAAATCTGCATGTGAAGCAACTTGTCTGCGAGAAAAAATACGAGATATGGTGCTTGTTCGGTAGTACAACGGCTCGGCTTTCCCTGTCAGAGTTCGAAATCATAATGGGTCTAAACTGTGCACCTTTACCTAAAGAGAATGATAATGAAATAGATGTGGGAAACAAAGTGGGCAAAGATATGTGTCAAGGAAAGTGAGAACCCAAGCAAGTAAGATCTGATGAAAGTGGTTAAGAAGGATGTTGCAGCTTGGCCAAAAGAAGACAAAATTCGCTTTGCATATTTGTCCATTTTAGCTACTGTCATCATCGGTGGTGATTTCAAGACAAACTTATATAAACTAGCTCGTATGGTCTTCGATTTGAAAAACCTACATTGATGCTTCCATTTCTGAATATGCTATTTGAAGCTCAAAAGCAGGAGATAGAAGTCGAGGCAAAGATTCAAGGTATGAATCTTCCGCTACTAAGATATGGTTT